CATCAGCCTCGTGCATGTCTCTATCATGCTCACCTATGACTGCCGCGGGGACTGCATCTTCATCATTTCCGTCCGGCAGTGCCCCATGCAGCTATGGAACTAGTCAGATGTCCACCACCATGTTGGGTAATCGTGCCGCTGGTTCTGGCAAACGTGGCCTAGTGCGTTGGTTTCATCGACTCATTCTGCCCTCATTTTCCGACTCACGAACCAAGCTGCGTTGGGGTGTGTTAATCCGATCTGACTCGAATGACGCACCCGCGTTTCTTGTTCTTTTCAAATTACACCGCCGTTCTGCTCGATCATCCAATTACCATCTGAATGCCAATACTCGACGGCCAATTGGACAGAAAACAGACTCGCGATCTCGAGTGAACTCCTATACTCCTGAAATGGTAAGTGAATTTTGGAACTTTTCTCCACTAGTTCCCCAGTTAAACGGATGCTTTCAGTATGCTCCTTACTAAGTCTGGTTGCTTCCACAGGGCATCCTTTGTTTTATCAGTATTGGATGTCCCATGAACTGATCCAAGGCTATAATTTCCAAATGACCTCTCTCATCGCAATCCTCTGATGGCATTCATTCGTGACTGAGGTGTGGTTCGTATGAAAAATTGAAGAATTTCTTGTCCTTAGAAACTGATTACTTACGATTGGACACTGCTACGAAAAGTGAACCTAATCGATGTCAAATTAACTTTCAGTCGTACATCTGCAAAATTTGCTCTCCGATTTCGATCTTTATACTTTAACAGTCCATTTTTGTGGATACATTATGCAAGGTATTTGCATCTCCATGAGATTCAGTTGACCTATCATGCAAATCTGTTTTGAGGAAGTTTTCCCAAAGGAAGTGAGGAGCGATTATCAAAATCTGTGAAGACCTGAACACTAATCTAATGCATTTGTCGCCATCCGTCAGGGACCAGATGCTTCGTACTTTTCTTAGTTCTGAGCTACTTTCTCCTATGGGTTCAAGTTCACCTCCTGGAAAAGTGCACAAAGAACTTTGAGACTTTTGTACAAAATGCCCCCGCGTTATCGCTGAACCTGTCTTCAAGGATACATATTTGACACTTGTACAGTTACGTGTTGTTTGGGGGATAACTGGATAATCATGATGGTTCTACACGGCGGTGGGTCATTTGACACGTCATCGTTCTGAAAGGAGTTCATGCCCAACGAAAATCCGCTCAGTCATCAGATATCACCTTTAGCCGTCTGTTATTGTGTTTTCGGTAAACCAGTGTGTATCTATTCATGCTTCAACAACTTACTGCTTTCGGGTTTAGAATGGTGATGTCCGGTGATCCTCCTAGTTCGTACAGAATGTTAACTCTTCCCTTGCGGAACTTATCTCCTCCAATTCATGCGCATTATCATCCTGTTAGTGTTATTCTTTAAATCATATGCTCGTACCTTCAAAGATAAGTGCATGCAGTTGACTAATATTACTACTAATACTCGAAAGCAGTCATAAAATAATACGAACGTTGCATTTGAAATGCTGAGAGATCACACCCGCATGGAACATTATCCGTGTTAAATATCTTAACTTATTTCATAAAGGTGAGCGGCAGTCGACATAGCTTACCACTATTATTGTTGCCAATGGTAAATTATTATCGTAGACTTGTTTCTACCGGTTTTTCCCCTCACACATCGTTTTTCTCGCCATTCTCAACCGCTCTTCGTCGACTGCAGTTTTCTACTAGAAATTGTCAAGTTTTGGTTATCGGAACAGCCCTAATGGACTACCAGTCTGCCTACTCCCCTTCTGTGCTTATCTCGGACGTTATGGGTGTGAAGCATAAACTATATCGTCTGTTGCCTGCACCAAACAGTGGTCGCGAGTTGTTTTCTACCGGTCGACCGAGTGGTATGAGGACCGCCATGCTGCAACACGATCAGCCACGGGAGGACCTGAAGACCAGTTCGCCCCTTTGTGCAACAGAACTCCCGCTCTGGCCACATACCATACGGGTCCCGCGAAGCAATCTACGCAAGACTCAAGTGAGTTGGCAGTCATCGTGCTTTATTTATGGTACACCGCGATGAGTCTTATATAGCGAGGATATTGCCCACGGTGACTAATACCCTGACATCCGAAAGGGCCCCAATAGGGCAGGCGTGATATTGAACCGGGCTGCAGAATAACTGTTGACCAACGTATTTGGGCGGTGGAGTTTGAACCTCTGATTTTGATACAGCGAATCGAGACGCTCGATTACTTTGTAACGACATATCCATGCAAAAGTGCCCAAAATTTGGTTATTATATAAACTTTGGATGTTTCTTGTGAGAATAGGTAGAGTCACCTGATGTTTGGCTGAAACGTCCTTAGAATGCAGATAAATGAAAAGATGACTACCTATTACCCAAATGCGTTGTCACGATATCCCGTCGCATGTTTTGGGCATTAATGTGAGTTGATATTATTTGAAACAATTCTTGTATACTGCTATTATCTTGCGACTTTTGTCAGGTGCCCAACAACAGTCGGTACTGTCGAGTACGTTAACAGTGGTACTCAAATCTTGTTACTGCGGAGTACAATAAGCCGAACCCCAGTCATTGTGCTAAAGCTCACTGTTTCGGATATGGAGTGTGGAACGGGAAAAGGATCTGGCTAGCACAGTACATAGTTTGCCTTTACACACACAACTTTTCAGAACGTTTGCTNGCGAACGCTCATCACGTATGCTCTCGTAATCAAACTGTGTTTTGACAAAGGGCTCATTCCCAACGCTATTCATATCTGTTAACCTTGATATGACTTAATCGTTCCTGAAACGGAAATCGCGAACGAATCCTGTGCGAGTTCTGGCTGTACATAAATTCAACGGTTTCTTCTGAAAGTAGGAGTTTTCAGACTTTAAGAGGGAAACAAAATTTCATCACAGCACCACTTTTACTTCATAGTTCTATAGAGTTTTTTACGTGAGCCATGCGCATGGTTTAAAAATTCAATTAACGAACCCCAGACCGTTTCTGAGGATAAATTGAAAACTCAGTAATGCGGTCTGAACGCCAGGAGTGTCATTTTCTCTTTGTACAATTATTAACCTTTCACTTCCATATTCACGCGCACTATTGTTTAACGTCACTCAGTCACCGTTGTTATTCAGAAAAATGCACATCTTTATTCATCGGTGTTTTGTTCGTGTATCCCAACTAGGATACCTCACCCATTCCTTTTGGCTATGCTACCACACTTATCACAAAAGTGAACAGAGAAACTTATGAAGAGCATTTGATTTGTGATCGATTGGCCTAGGCGATGTTTTATTCCCTAACATGCAACATGATAGGAGAAGAACATAATGGATCTGTGACCTTATGTTGCAACGTCCGTCCTGAAATTCAGAGTCAAAGTCTCGATGGTGATATATTACACGACAAACGAACTGTTCAGTGCATCCCTCTTGAATGTGTGCTTGAATCGGGTGATGGCCACTAAGTAGTCACCAACACCGAGACGAATGTTCTCCGCACTATACCAGTAAAGTAATATGGATTAAGTGGATTGTGAAACCTAGTAAGAAGTCCGAGTGTTGTGAGGTACTACTCACATTTGTGAGTGGTAGGTAACATAGTTGGTGAATTATTTCGACGATTAAAAATTAACAAGATCACCGATGGCAAATTGCTGTATCTCAACGAATAACTATCGATTGCTACGTTCATTACCCGTCGTGCGGCCAGGAGGTACGATGTATGTTTCTGGTGGTGTTATGTATGCCAAATTAGTGATGTCCCATCTGTGATGCTCAGTAAACAGTTATCCTCGACCAGCACCGCCTTCTGGAGTTATAACACAAGTATTACACTAGGCAGTTCTTATCAATAAGAACTTTGTATCAATAAGTAGTTTGTGTGAATGAATCGCCTTCCCTATCTCGTACCAATCGTCGTTTCCGTCTAAAGTGATGGAGCGAATAAATAGACCAGAATGAGACACGCGGATAATTGCATTGATGTCGCTGGTAGGTGTCTCATTTTGTTCTGGATACGACCGAAAAGATCCTGTGAATGTTCGACCGAAATCACGGATGAGGCAACTAATTGCAGTCAGCCCTTTCAAATGTGCCCATTTTATTGTATTTTTGGAAGAGACTATCAGCGGGCCTTATACTCGCTACTGCCCCCCCCCCTTTTTTTCGAGACGTTCATACTGGATTCTCGTTTTATCTAAAGTAAATTCAGCAAACAGTAAAGTGGGCATTTCGCTCTCTCTATCGATGCAAATGGAAACCACGTGGAGGTCAACAGATGACGTGGAGACGAGGCATGAAGAAATGCACAGAGCCATTAGGTAGAGTAGGTGTCTCTCACCTTCCAGGTTAGGGTCCGAAAGACTCCACAACTGGTTGTTTGGAGACACAAGGATATGGGAGCGAACCGGCAGCAGTGGCGTTCTTGTTGTTGTTTCTTATCAGGTCAGAATGCTTGATGCAGTATGCATGCAGAGTGCGATTGCGTACTGTGTTGATCATAGTGGCTCATCTTCTCTCTTCCTCAAAATAGATCCAACCCCTGTCTACCTTAAATTTTACCACGCATTGCGAGTTTGGCAGCGATCAGCGAAGTTCGCCTCACTGTACGATGATGATGATGATGCAAATGAGCTAATCGGAAACCCAAACTGAAGATAAACTCATTTATAGTCTTGAATTGTGTTCCCGTTGCATATTTCTAAGATGCTCAAATAGCACGAACTACTCATACATATGCGTTTCATCTGTCCAGTATAATCGAACGGCTTTGAGTCAGTATCAGAATATCAAGGTCTTGACCCTGGGAAAAGATGGCATTTTATCTACCGTATGCGTCTTAAGATCATTTGATAGCTGTATTCAAATTACTGGTGAAAAGGACCACAATTAAGCTCCCTTTTGGTATATTAACATTCAACGAACTAATTCGCCCTCACTCCTCCTTTATTGAACAGGGCGCGCTGAAATCATTACGGCGCCTGTGGCCGGCTACAATAATGGCAGGACGGCGCTTTAGGCGTACCGGGTCGGAAAAGGCTTCCTTACGATCTCATAC